AAAAAAAAAAAAAAAAAAAAAAAAAAAAAAAAAAAAAAAAAAAGGCATCTTAGCCTCCTCCCTGCATGAGTCACATGGATTTGTCTCCAGCTGTGAGCTGAGCACCTTGTATACCACAGGTGCACATGCTGTGTTGCTTTCATCACCTTCAGGGCTGTTTCATTGCAGGTAGTATATAGTAGAACTAACACAAGATTTTAGAAATTTATTTGGCAGCTGAAGGCCTCAGCCTCAGTCTTTTCTGTTTTATGTATGAGCATTGTAGCCCTGAAATCACATTATTGTTTGATATACCAGCTGTTTTTCAGCTAATACCTTATTAAATCAGTGCATTTTGTTCTTCCATTCTAGGTTCTGTTCTGCTGGCTACTGAAATACTGCATACTCACTGTATTGCAGAGAAGAGCTGTAGTTTGTAACACAATGTACTTATTTCTGTTTGTTTTAAAGGAAAACTATAGGAACTCAGTTCCACTAGATGAGGCAATGTGCAGAAAAGAAATAGTTTATGGAGTTCTCCAGGCTACTTAAAGTACTTTTAAACTCCATTAAATTTAGAGAAACTTGCATGAGTACCTCACTTGATGCCTTAGATGCCAAAAAAGAACAGGCACTCACAACTGAAGCATTACGTTTGTTCTCATTTGTGATATTCTTTAAAGGAGTCATTGAAAACTTAAGGCCTAAAAGATACATCAGCAGGTTTGCCAGAAACTATCACATTTGACAAGTTGTGAGACATTTAGAAACAGTAAAGCTGGCAGGAAAATGAGCTACGAGGGTGTGCTGCTGTTGGAAGCGTTACTGTGCACGTATTACCAAAACCACGCTCATTTTAGTGACATGTTAATGTTTTAAACATTCTCTTGGAGATCTCTTTGATATTCTGTAGAGAATAAATTACTATATCTCTTTTCCTGGACTTATTAGACTTCTGGGAATGCCTGATAGTGATTGTTGCCAAATTCCACATTTATTTTCTGACTTCACAACCAGACTTTGAATATCTTTGTTTCTCTTGCACCAAATTAATTATGGTTGTAAGTTGACTGAATGGCTTTTTGATAATACACCATAATACATCAGGTTTTGAAGTCTAGGGGACTTTGTTCCTTCATTACTTACGCACAGCACAGTCTAAGTACTCATATAACTTGAATTTGAAAGTGCATTTTTTTTTCTTATCTGTCTCAGCAAGTTAGCATTGTGGTTAGAGTAGTTTATTTCTAAGAAAGGCTAATCACTTCATTGTAGAAATGGCAACAGCAAAATAGGCCATGTGGAGTGTATTTGTGCAAAGCAAATTTTCTGATCTAATATGTGAGGGCTGAAAGCAGGAATAGTGCTAGAATAAGTTCAGGGAGCTTGTCTTTGGAATGGTGTCTTCTCTTTTCTACCATGCTCCATACATTCCATAGGCATTGTACCCTCTGGAGGTGCACTGCTAAAAGAGGCCAGAAACATTGCCCTGGCATAACCTCATTTACTAGAATGGTTTAACAGGGGAGCCCAAAATATTAACCCCATATAAAGACAGAGGTGCCAAAGTGACTGTAGTTCCTTGTACTGTGCAGAGTACTGATGTCATATTCATTACCAGAGCTGTACTAGGGCTCTGGAAGATGGGTTGCTTCAGTGTATCCGTCTGTCAAAAGTGATGAGCTTTATTTCTTTGATACAAACTGCATGTTTGGCCATTGAGCTGTCGATTAAAAACAGTCTGTGCTTGTTTAAAAGGAAAAAAAATCCCAAACTGACCAAACAAAAAAACCAAAACAAAGCCAACCTGCCTTTACCAAATATTGTGCTCCATAGCTTCCAAGGGAGTTTCAGCAGCTCCAGTGGAAACTTCCAAGAGACCTGATATGTAAAGCTTAGGATGAAATCGATGTTTTCTCCCTCATCCCATTGGGGAGTGAAAGGAGCAAATGACTGTTTGATGCTGAGCTGCCTCATGGGTTAAGCCATAACAGTCCTGTTGGTGCTCAAAGGACAAACTGAGAGAGCCTAGTTTGTTCAGCATGGAAAAGAGAAGGCTCTGAGGAGATGTGATACAACCTTTCAGTATCTAAAGGAAAAAAGGGGACAGACTCTTTAACATGGTCTGTTGTGACTGGACAAGGGGAAGTGGATTCAAACTAGAAGAGGGGAGATTTCAATTGGATATATGAAAAAGTTTTTTCCAGTACTGGTAGTGAGGCACTGGAACAGACTGCCCAGAGAGGTGATGGATGCCCCATCCCTGGAAACACTCA